CACTTCTTGAGGACGCTTAGGTCCTTCAATGTCTGTAGCAAGATGCTGCAGATCTTCTACAAGTCTGTTGTTGAGAGTGTAATCTCTTCATCCATCGTCTGTTGGGGTAGCAGCATCAGAAGCAGGGACCTGAAAAGGCTCAACAGCCTAATAAAAAAGGTTGGTTCTGTTCTGGGGACGACTGTGGAACCACTGGAGGAGATCATGCAAAGAAGGATTCTCCCGAGAATCAAGAAAATGATGGACAACCCTGAGCATTCTCTTCACAAGACTGTCCAACAACGGAAGAGTGTCTTCAGTCAGAGGCTTCTTCAGTTTCGCTGCAACACTGACCGCTACTGGAGATCCTTCCTGCCAACAGCCATTGTAATATACAACAACTCTTTGACGACTTGATTATTATTATTATTCTGAGCTACTACAGCAATCAATTTCCCTCTGGGATTAATAAAGTATTTTTGAATTGAATTGAATTAAGTAAACTATAATCATGTAAAACAAGAAACAAAATTATAGTAAATAATTAAATAAAAGCAAACCTAAATAGGTGGCTCTTGAGCATGGACTTAAAAACATGAATGTTCTCTGCGGCCCTGAGGTTCTCCGGCAGTTCATTCCAGAGGCAAGGGCCGTAATACTGGAACAAAGCCTCCCCGTGAGTGTGTGTCCGGACTTTAGGGATGACCAGGAGACACCTGCCAGAGAAGCGCAGAAGCCGTGAGGGTTCAGATGATCCTGAAACATACAGGGGGCCAATGCAATGATTCTATAGCCCCCTTCAGACAGGCAATGAAAAACGGAAATGTTAGGGACTCTGTCCGTAAGACCTTTGTGTCTGAATACAAACATCCGGATAACCTTTTCCATAATTAAACCGGACGAAGCCCCTAGTAACAGGACCGGACTTGTCACGGACAGGGTGGCTGCTTCAGACTGGTGAGGTCGAGTTCCGGACAGGGAGGAGGGGGAGGAGGGGGGGACCGGGGGACGCTGTGTGCACCTAGATAGCTCGCTCCTGTAACATGCAGCGAACCACGGCAGCTCACCTCCTACGGTACCGTCTCCTAGACGCACGACGGAGCGCTTCACACCACTTCCATGATTCCTTTATTAACCATTGAGCTTCATCATCCAGGTCTCTTATGCGTCTTCGTGTGCGCAGAATTATGCTTAACATAAGTCCGATCAGTGAGAGGAATTCTCTTTGTCAGCCATGTTTGAGTGAATAGCTTTGTTTGGGTAAATGACGCATGTACGCCCGCCGCACTATGTTTATGCAATATCTGGGTACAGCCTTCCCACCTCCTCCCCCTCAGACATCTGGAACATTTCCCTGCTGTGTGAAGGCAGCCGAAAGGACAAGTTTAGGTACAAAAGTGGTGTGTCTGAAAACACAGTTCTGGTTAAAAACCGGACTGAATTGTCCACACATATTCCAAAATGTCAATCTGAAAAGGGCTCATGTTAGATTTTTTTAAAGTATTACTGTCTTAAATTTTCCTTTTTAAGAAATCATATGTTAATAAGTAAGCCACAGAGGGATTTCTCCTTTCCTCATAGCTGTGGTATGCGGTCTGATATGCTGCGGGGGTTGGTGAAATAGCCTGTCTGGCAACAGGTATCCATGGTTACCGAGTTTCTAGCTGTCAGTCATAAATTAAGACCTCCTTTGTGGAATGCTTTGCTTGGAAACAGGGAAGCTAGCAGCCACCACTGTAACTTGAGATCTCTGTTTTAGAAGGTCCCGCCTTTGATAGAAAACAGTGTTATTGGTTAAGTGTGGACAGTGATGGATCGTCCTTTGTCTCCGATTGCCTGTTTCAATAAAACCAGCTGAAGAGAGAGAACGTGCCAGAGTGTTGGTTGGAACAGGGCCTAAACAGGTTCTGAGCTAGTCTCTCTCTCCGCTGCCTCTATCCACAGCGTAAAAAATCTACTGACTTCTCTCCTGTGTGTGGTTCATTTCGGGGTTCGGTTTCAGGATTTAAAAATACCCAACATTCTAAAACTGGTGTAATGTGCTCAACGCCTCCTGGTCTTCGTCAGGATACGTGCCGCCAAATTTTGTAGGAGTTGTAAGCCTGAGATGCTCTTTTTGGGAAGACCAGAAAGCAGAGCATTAAAGTAGTCTATCCTACTGGTGATAAAAGCTTGCATCAGCATCTCCGTATTGGCCCGAGAGAGAATAGGGCGGACTCTGGCGATGTTCTTTAGATGATAAAAACCTATTTTTGTGATATTTTTAATGTGTGGAATAAAAGTCAGCTCAGAGTCAAAAATCACACCCAGGTTCTTCACTTGTTCAGATGGATTGAAAGACAGAGATTGTAATTTCGGTAAAAGCTTCTCTCTGGGCCTCAGGACCAATGACTAAAACTTCAGTTGTCCTGGTTGAGCTGGAGAAAGTTCTCTGCCATCCAGTTTTTGATGTCTAAAACACAGTTAAAAAGTGCATCCATTGGTCGAGAGTCATCAGGAGACACAGATATGTACAACTGTGTATCATCAGCATAACTGTGAAAGTTGACCCCATGTCTCCTGATGACTCCGCCAAGAGGGAGCATATAGAGATTAAAAAGGACAGGGCCTAAAATTGAACCCTGGGGCACACCACATGTAATCCCATGGATCCTAGAGGAACAGGTATCCAAACTCACCATGAAAGTCCTGTCTGTGAGGTAGGATGTGAACCATCGGTGAACAGCACCAGAGAGGCCGATCTGTTTTAAACGGGTTAAAAGAATAGTGTGGTCTACTGTATCGAAGGCAGCACTTAGATCCAGTAGAACCAACACAGTCACCTTCCGTTTATCATAAATCAATCTAAAATCATTGAAAATCTTCAAAAGGGCCGTCTCGGTGCTGTGGTTCACCCTAAAACCAGACTGAAATTTCTCTAGGACATTAGGAGTGTTTATAAAATCATTTAGTTGATTTTAAACCAACTTTTCTACAATTTAGCTTAAAAATGGTAAGTTAAATACTGGTCGATAATTGTTTAAATCATTTAAATCTAAGTTGCTCTTCTTCAACAGGGGCCTCACCACCGCCCCTTTAAAGGCAGCAGGAAAGACCCCCTGTCGGAAAGGAGCAGTTCATCAGGGTTAAAATCTCATCTCTAAAAGATCCATAAAATTGTTTAAAAAACTGTTAAGAAAACAAATGCCTGAACTCTGTGCAGCAAACATTAATTCTAAGATTACGTTTTCAGTGTTAAAAATTCAATGTCTAAAAACGGCATTTTCAGGTGAAAATGTTATACTTCCACATATTATTGGCCGGGGTTTATAAACAAATACGAGACAACCATTTTCATTTTTGTTTATCTCCACAAAACATTTAGAGGCTGGAATGCTGTTAAGAAAAGGCATGAAAAAAATATTTTAAGCCAATTTGTTTTCCAAATGTGCTGCTGCAGCTTTTATAAACACTAAATGTTGATATATTAAATAAACTAACATATGTGTGTGGAAACCATTTTTGCCATCTAAAACAATGTGCAAAGCATGTCCCAACTATGGCACTAAATAATAACTGATGAGGTTAAAGGTCATATTGTAACGTCCAGAAATGGTCAATTTTCACCTAAATGTTGACCTACAGTGTCCGGTCACCTACAGACCTAATTCCACTATCTGAGTGGAGTTTCTATTCTGTCTTCTAAAGCCCAGAAGATTCTGCAGCCCTTGTTGACATTTCAGGGGGAACAAGGTGCTAGCCTATGTTCCCAAACAAAGCCTTCTTTTGATAAGACCGCAGGACGGCTCACTCTCATGAAAGAAGAACTTTTACAGCTCATAGGTTAAATAATCATTAAATAATAATACAGTGGAATAAACAAATGTTATATGAATAATAATATTGATGTTTGAATAATCTGTGCCTAATTCAATGAAGTTGAAATGAATATAATTATGTTATGATCGGTAATTTTAGATTTAACAAGTGAATCATCATCTACTGACAGCTCACACACACACACACAGACACGTGACAATGACACGGTTAAACTAATATGACACATTGCTTTCTGTTCCACCAATCAGAACTCCTGTATCTGACGCAAGGCGTGTTTTCTGAGGTTCGTTGGTAAAACCCTTTTTTACATGTCAAATTCTGATTTGTTAGTAAATCAAAATATGGCGATTATTAAAACAGGACTCACTTCCCCGTGAGTCAGTTCTAGAGAAAGCTGCGGACCGGCCATCCGGAGCAAATCCTCTTTAACCCAGAGCACTTTTTGACAAGCAGTCAAAAACCTGCTACACGCTGAAGCTGACACAGCAAACGGTTCCTGCAGAACAAAGCTGATACAGTTCAGACTCCCTAAGAGTCCTTCTGCACACAAACTAGTTCCAACCTGTTGTGCCTGGTGACATCTCTGGACTGGAGAAGTCGGTGCCGCGGTTAATCTACTGAACCTCGGCGCCCAGAGGTCATCCGACCTTTCCTTACCTCCAGATCTGCTAAGAGGGCCTCCAAAGAAAGGGTGAGGTAGACACAGCATGACTGCGTCTGATGTGGTTTTGATGAGAACCAACTTCATAGTTTAATGCAATCCAAATTCTTTTCACAACCAGACCCAAGGTTCTGATAACATCACACAGCATTCAATCATCATACATCACATTCCATCCACTAATCCATCACATTAGTCTTATTTAACGTGTCGTGTTTTTAATTTGTTTAGAAAATAAAAGTCTTACTTTTATAAACCCGACTCTGTCTGAATTATTACAAAGTGTGTTTGATCCCTGAAAAAGCAAAGAATCCTAGAATCTTCTGATTAAACATTCAAAGACTAATAAGATGTCATATCCTATATTTATATAGAACATCACATCTCATTGGTCATAAGTAAAGGTAATATAATAAGCTTAAAAGCAACAATATTAACCCATTGAACAATATTAATACAAAAAATGGTATTTTAGCCCCCAAGTGTCAGAGATGGGGTCTACAGTAATATGACCAACATAAAATAAACAACACACACAGCAGTGGTGTATATGGTTGCATTTGAAAGGCATATCCATTAAGCAGCGTGTACATTTTATTGTTACTGTAACATTAACAAAATTACATTGCATCAGTTTTTCGCATTCAGTTATAAATTAGGAAAACATACTCATTTGATCAAAAGAACATACATGTTCCTTTGAGTTTCCTGATGCTGCTCTCATCTCCCATAAAGCAGCGGGCAGTGTAGTGTCTCGGTCCAGCACTGGTCCAAGGATCAGGCTTCCTCCGGGGGCGTCCCCAGCTGCAGTACTCCACAGAACCACATCTGTTTGACTTCCTTTACTCAAAGTGACCCAGATGTGTTCCTCATGTGTCCCAGCAGTGATCCTTGCACTCGGTCATCTGGAGGTAAGAGCTGATGGCCTCCCTCAGCCCCTCACTCACCAGAGAGTTATCTGACTCTGTTCTCTTCCTCCTGAGGATCACAGACCTGTGGGAACAAAACTCTGAATCAGAGAGGAAATTTCGGCAAAGTACTTCTCTAAACACAATCACAAAGGTGTTCTACAGCAGTCTGAACATCCTGCCTTCTGTTTGCTGGTTCCACAACTGGTACTGACCCAGTGTACCCAGTCCTATCTGTTGGATTATCGTCTTTCCAGTCTTCTTGACAGTTTACTCAGTTTTTAATCTTGTGATGCCGTGGGATTAAATTGCCACTCTCTAAATCAATGTCCTCAGATTCAGCTCTTACAGTCACTCGGTCAGTTCAGGTGCATTTTTGAATGAATTAGGAGCACAGGGCTCAATACATAAGGCACACAGCAGAGGAAGTTCTCTCTAACCTGGTGATGTCCCTCCAGTTCAGAGTAGGTCTCCTGACCGTAACGGGAATGGGCTGAGCCTCTCTGGCACCAACTAAACCCTGGATGAAGCAAGGCTCCGCCAGTCGACAGCACAGCCCATCGGCGGACTCTGTGGGAAGAGGAACTGTGTTGTTAGTCAGGCGGTAAGACTTTGGTGTTGGAGAAAGAAGAAAAGATCTAGTACAAACCTGAGTAGTGTTCCACCAGGTGATGGAGCGAGGAGAATGTGAGTCCTGGAGAAATGTAGACCCAGGAGTTCTCAAGGCGGGAGATGCGATAGTGCTTCACAGGGTTCACGTTGGAGGAGCTGGTTCTCCTCAGGATGGAGAGAGAAAAGCAATCTAGAGACAGAAGCATATGTGTTTGACGTGGCGTGTGATTATTCTGTCACAAATATAGCCAGAGGTGTTACAGCTAGCTGCTTCAGCTGCTGCTCTCCAACATAACAACAGTCTGATATCAACAGCTTTATCTGTCGACTGCATCTGACACTCTCAAACATGGCTTCCTTTGTCCATACTCTCTAGCATGGGCGTCACAGGGAAAGCACACTCCTGGCTTGAATCGTACCTCACAGGACAATCTCTCAGTGTATCTTGGCTCGGACAATCGTCTGCTGTTCACCAGCTTGCCACAGGTGTCCCCCAGGGCTCTGTACTGGGACCTCTTCTCTTACACACCACCTCACTGGGTGAGATCATTCGATCGCATGGCTTCTCCTACCACTGCTATGCCGAGACCCAGCTCTATCTGTCATTCCTGCCGGATGACCTCACAGTCTCCGCACGAATATCAAACTGTCTCTCTGACATATCAAGATGGATGAAATCCCACCATCTCCAACTCAACCTCTCTAAAACTGAATTGCTTGTCATCCCAGCAAAATCATCCACATGGCACAATATTTCAATCCAAAATGATTCCATATCTCTGGCTCCTTCGAAGGCAGTTCAAAACTTGGGTGTTGTGATTGATGACCAGCTGACCTTTAAAGATCACAATGCCTCCGTCGCTCGTTCACGCCGGTCATTGAAGGATTGTCAGGTAGCAGTGCCTACACCACGCTCAGGACAATCCAGACTCTTCTCATGCATCGTTCCACAGATGTGGAATGACCTACCAAGCACTACCAGAACAGGGGCTTCCTTGTCGATTTTCAAGAAACTCCTGAAGACGCAGCTGAAGACCAAGAGAGCATCTTCTATATGAGCACTCTCCCTGCACCTGTCCCCCACTCTACTGCACACTCCATGTTTGCTTCACTCTATGATGGACAGTGTTTGTTGTTAGCCTCAAGGGCAACCTGCTGGCTTGACTATCACCTGTAAGTCGCTTTGGACAAAAGCGTCTGCTAAATACATAAACATAAATAACCAGGAAGTGTAAAAGTTACAGCGGGGTGAAGGTTTGGTTTGGTCCTACGGGGACCAGAAGCTTGCCAGTCCAATCATAAGTAATCTCATCCAAAGTCCTCGCTCTAAAAGGTAAAACATTAGTGCTCTCTCTGTTCCCGACCTTCCCACAGAGCCTGATCCTCGTTGCCTAACAGAGACCTTGTGCAGGTAAACCTGATCCAGGTATTATCCACAGCCTTTAACCAGATTCTGAGTTTGTGCTCAGAGGATTTTTTAAAAACAGTCAGCAGTCCGTGCCAACATCAAACACAGGAACACCGAGGCGCTCTGGCAGGATGTGGCCACCTTTACTGTCACCAACAATGGCGGCTTTTTCCATTCAGTTTTCGCCTGTTGGCACATTTACTGCATGAAATGTAAAAGTGCAAACATCCTACTGATAATGTGGGTGTTCGATGGTACAGGCCACGCTTGAGTTTTACATCCTCTAACCTCTGAGGCTCTCGGACTCTCGGATCAGGAAGGCTCCACTCTGGTTGTTTGGCTGCTTCAGCAGCTCCTCTGCGTTATACCTGCTGATGCCCGTGAACAGCCACCTGAACGGAGAGAGAGCAGAGAGGGTCAGAGCTGCTTCACCACTGAGGAGGAGGAGGGAAAGCTCCTTCACCTACACAGACTTCTCCCTCCTTCCCCGCCGCCCTCGACACCAACGTTCCTCACCTGTGTGTCACCTTGGCAGTGTAGTTGGTGGGAACGTAGCTGTTGCGGCCGCTGGCTGTGGATCTCACCATCATGAAATCACCATCACTGTTTAGTAGAAGGAGAAGAGGCAGCTGTCACTGATCTGTCCGAGGCTCAGGAGAGACCCAAGGACTCGGGGACACTTACTCAGACATGACGGTCAGGCTCTCGCCCAGGTGCATGGTGAGCTCCGTGCCCTCAAACGACGGGTAGTCATGGAGAGCCACGACCACACTCTCCTCGTTTCCTGCAGATGTATAAAGTTTGATGTATTTTCTCTTCCTTTCCTTTTGCACACCTGTGTTCTGGAGCTGAACTCACCTGGGGGCACAGGATCTGGCTGGTTTTCCAGAACCGTCCGGCTGGAACAGCGTCTGGTGAAGCAGATCCCCATGTTCTGCTCAGTTTGAAACGTTCTGTTAAAAAGAACCCAGAAAGAGTGAGACACATGCAGAGGCCTTGGACTGCAGCCATCCCACTGACTGTCACACTAGGACACCACCAGCAGCAGTGTGTGCGCCGATAGATGCTGAAGGTTCGCTGTAACCAGGCAACGAGGGGGGATGATACAGGAAGGGCCTAACCACAACAAGGAGCTCTGACATCCTGTGTTAAATTTCCATCCAACATGAGGATTAAGGTCTACTTCTCAAGAGTGATGGGAATGTGAGATGCTGATAAAAATATCTTAGATGATCTCTAAAATGATCTTTTTTCTAACAGCAGCTACACAAGGTCAGACTGCCTGGATGTAAAAGATAAGTTTAAGCTTAAAGGAAATAAAAAACACCTCTTAGCTCACCTGGTTCCTGCACAGATAGCTTCACAGATTCCTCCTTGAAGCCTCCAGTAAATCCATGCTCGTCTGCCTTCGGCTCACACTCGTGCATGCTCTGCAGTTCGCTCCACACTCAGGCCTGCCGACCACTCAGATTGGCTGCACTCCTTCTTCTTCTCTTCACATGAAGGCTCCTGTGTTTTTGCAGCTGTTCATTCTGTGGGCTGACTAAGAGGAGGAGGTCTTTATGTATGTCGCTCTGCTGCAGCTTCCTGTGACGTGCACAACTCTCACACCCTGACTCAAGCTGCACGGTCTCTTGCGTGAGCCGAGATGCAGCTCGTTTCTGGAATCGACCAGAGAGCTGCGTAAGCGATGTTTACACACACACACACACGTAGAGCTCTACATGCCAGCTGGGGTGCAGCCATGTGGGCTGATGTGATGACATCATTTCACTCAGAATAAATGTGAACAAATGAGTAAATTCTGCTGGCGTGATGAGCCGAGTGAAAACGGCAACATCTGGTAAGAGTGGTGCTCCACTCCGCTGCTCCTGAAGTCACAGGTTCACCATCATCACGCTGATGTTGCACCGCCGCCGTAGACATCAAGCTCTAGATACTGCAGAGTTAAACCATCACACAGATTCATGTGCAACATAAATACCAGCCCATCTCATTACGAGTTTTTTTAGTAATTATAAGTAATCTCGTTTTTCCTTGAGTAGAGATGAAATTAAGATTTTTTTTTGCATTTATTAATATACAGTAACTTATTTTCTGCATGTGAGGTAACACGTATTAAAAAAGCTTCAGCATTCTGGTTTTTAGACTTCTGAATGGGTCTTGTTACGTGTAGCAGAGCGGGATCTCGGCACCGCTCTCCTCCAAAAAGGCTGATCAGGACTGCAGGCAGGTCGTCACCCAACAAGCTTTAGCGTCTGAACTAAGTCGATTTTTACACTGACTGGTAAAAATGCACACGTTTCTAAACATTGAAGCCTGTATGTTTCTGTTGTCCAGACTTTTATTTTGAAATGTGTGCATCTGAACTGCAGGAACCATAGAGCTGAATGTTGCTACATTTATTTAATCAGGGGAAAACAGTATTTTGTATTTAATCTGTTTAAAGATTTGTTAAAATGTTTCTACCTGATTAGTGACAAATAATAAATACTGGTGACTCAAATCATCTAGACACAAATGTTTAATAAACTCTGTGTCACTCGGTGGAAACGGTGCAGCAATGAGGCTTAAAGAATCAGAATTAGCTGTAAATAAAGATCTAATTAGCATGTTACCTCTACAGGAAACACATCATCTATGCAGAGGATTTGGTCTCTAGAAGGTTCTGCTCTCAGCCACACGTGCAGATGGAAACAACAAAAACAAGATCCGATCAAATGATAGAATCACCAGTTTCCACCAAACCGGGCCGGGCCGGTGACGAGCGAAGCTGCTGACGGAGCTGAACAGCCCGGTGAGAGACGAGCTGTCCCCTCAGGCATCATGTTTTTTTTAATGTGAGCTAAATTTAGACGACTGATCTGTGACAACAACAGTTCTCACTCAACCAGGAAGTAAGAGCTAGTGTGGTTGGAAACGATCTCACCACAGCCGCCTCACTTTTCCATTAACACCAGAGCGCACACGCTGCTGGAGGAACCGGTGTTTACTGACAGGACAAAAGACACCACACGTGCTGTCCTCTTGTACTTTTATTCAGTAGTCATATATAAATGAGCTGAATCAGCAGAAGAAGCTCTTGGCCCCACAGCGACAGCACTGTTACACCTTTCACTTCGGACTGCCCGCGTTAGAAGTGGTTAAAACATCACAGCTGAATACAAACACCAGCGCGGAGCCGAGTTTGATAAAACTAAACCGAACACATGTTGTGCTGCACTCAGCGGTGCTACGGTGTCATTGTTCAGTTCAGATCTGACCTACTTGCACTGTGGAGGTTTGAAAATAACAAACTAAAACGTGAATCAGAAAACGTAAGAGTAAAAAACTGAACGTAGGCAGGATCTAAAGGTTTAAAACAATAATAAATACAAGACTAGACGGTCGAGTCAAGCTCACGCTTTAACCATTTAAATATACAACTCATCTGCATGTAGCTTCTGTTAGTGATGTGACTTTGACAGCATACATTACACTTTATAATATGGATCTGTTAATATATTTCTCTCTTAGGTCCTCCGGTTTAATCACGTAGACCCCTCTGCGTTGCTTAGGAGGTGGATGAGAGCGACAGGAGAGGCAGAGAGGGGCTGAATGTGGGTTTAACACGACACCTCCATGGTCTGGGGTCCAGCCTGGCCGCCGCCCTCCAGCAGCCCGCTGATGTTGTTACGGCTGCGGCTGCTCTCCATGGAGGTGATGCTGGAGGAGGAGGTGGTGCGTGAGCGGGCCAGGCGGGTCATTCCCGCTGACGGAACTGAAACGGGGAGAAAAACAGGCGTTGATATTCCAGTCACAGGCGGCACGGCCCGAGCGCGGCGCAGGAACACGGCAGACAAGAAGGAAAAGTGCTCGTCATGCAAACATCTCCCAAATAAAACAGACGACAAAAATGTGACGGACTTCAACATAAAAGGACAAAAGCAGCGTCACAGGAGCTTTTGTAGCAGCGGGTCATGCAGCACGTTTTGGACATGCTCAGTGCGAACACAGCCTCCTACAGGGACATGAATGTATGCAGAGACTTAACCACGGTCCTCAGACGCTTCCAGAGATGTCTAACAGCGCTCTCTGGAGAACCTTCTGCATACATTGACATTCATCCACTGTAGACCGTTAAAAAGGCCTGCTGTTCTTTCAAAGCCTCCGTGCCAGGCAGCTGCTCCACTGGCTGGTACCTGATTCGCTGCTCAGGTGACTGAGGAGAACGTAGGGAACTGGACGGGATGGTTGGAAGGAAAAACAGGAGAAAAGGACACATTTTAAAGGCACATCTCATGTTTCCTTGATCTATTTTGCTTAAAGGTGGAGGTGTTGCTGCTCTGCAGAGGAGCTGGCTATTGTAAAATAATCAAAGCACGTGTTTAAACGATGGGGGTTTGTTCCCTGAACTATGTGGATATTTTCCTGTGAAACTTGTTAATGAGGGAAAAGCAGCTTTCAGAAACATGCTGAGGTGTTTAATTTGATTTTCCACACTTCCCCTGAATGAAAACACTCTTTAAATCGGCTCTAATCCTGCAGTGGCATTTGCTCAACGGGGGTGGGGGACCCGCTGGCCTTTAAAGGCAACACCGACGGATGAGCTGCGCGCCATCCAGCCGGCTGCGAGGGGGTGGGAAACAGCAGAGAGCAAAAGGACAGTCACAGAGACAGGTAGTCTGTGAGGAGGACACGCCCACTGTCAGGATAACACCCTCCACGGATCACAGCCACTCTGGGTTCTTGCCGTTCAAACGCGTGACTGTCAAACCTGGAGGCGTGTTTGACTCTTTTAAAGAGAGCAGACAGCAAACCGGTGCGGACAAGAGAGGAGAGCACCACAACAAACCAAAGTCAGGAGTCAGTTCTGACGCCCACACTCCGCTGAACAGGAAGAAAACGCTGTTCAGCACATCGGGCACAACCGTCACTTCAGTCATGCTGGGAGCTTTTTGTCTCACCTACTGTGAACTGTGAGTAGCGCACACTGCAAAGAGCACAAAGGAAAAGCTGTTAGTGTTAACCGCGTCCCAAAGTCTCCTTTCATGCGCAGCTGGCCGCATTCCAAACCCGCCAGCAACAGGCTCCGGTGAAAACAACCCAACAACCCGTCTGAGCACCTTTTGCAATTGCACTCACGTCAACAGGAAGTTCAGAGATGAACAAAGACAACTCTGGACCACAGCAACGTCATCCCAGAGCCGCTTCAGCGCAACTGCTAACTAGTCTGAACCGGAGTCGGTTGTTTTTAGGCCTCTCACGCGCACGCACGCACGCACGCGCACACACACACACGCACGCGCACACACACACACACGCACGCGCACACGCACACACACACACACACACACACACACACACACACACACACACACACACACACACACACACACACACACACACACACACACATGTTTACTTACTATATCCCATGCCCTGAACAAAGTACTTGAAGGCCTCAGCGAGTTTCCCAGGCTGCAAAGAGGAAAACAAGCATTAAAAGTACGTCATCGTGGGGGGACTCTAAAGGTTGTTTATCTATAAGTAAAGCAACCTGAACGACTTGTGGCAAGCCTCCACAGTCAGCCATCTGAAGCAAAATCACCACAGTTATTACCACAATAGTTCACATTCCAAATAGGATGCTTTTTTAATGTAAACAAAAATACCGTTTCACCTTTAGCAGAGTGGTCTTGGTGGGATTTAACCTGGAGTTGCACTCCACCTGCAGCACAAAGGAAGCATCAGACAGAAGAAATGTTTAATATGTCTTCTCTGATGATTTGACACAACTCAAACTTACCACAGCATCAACAGCTGGAGACGTGTCACCGACCACCAGCAGGGCGGGGCACCTGGAGAACAAACACGGCATCAGCTCAACACGTCCCAACATGCCTACATGGCGGCAGTCTGAAAACGTACGTCAGCGTGTTGACCGTGTCCTCGTTTAGACCCACGATGGGCCTCTCGATGTCCAGGTCCTGGCGGCTGCAGACAAAAGTGTTTCTGTGAGTGAGAGCGCCTCAGCGTGAAGCTGATGGTGCTGACTGTAGCTGGCAGGATTACTCTGCTACATGTAGCATCACAGGGTTGCTTCTGGCTCGTTTCAGAGTGACGAGACAACAACAAATGGTTATTCAGGCTGGCTTGAATAAATAAATAATTAATCTAAAGTCTTTAATCCAGCCATCCATTTTCAGCTGCTTATACAGAGTCGGGTCGTGGGGGCAACAACCTAAGCAGAGGCCCAGACTTTCCTCTCCCCAGGCACTTAGACCAGCTCCTCCGGGGGAATCCCAAGGTTTTCTCTGGCCAGCTGAGACATCGTTCCTCCAGCGTGTCCTGGGTCTCCTCCCGGTTGGACGTGCCCAGATAACCTCACCAAGAAGGCGTCCAGAAGGCATCCTAACTAGATGCCCAAGCCACCTCAACTGGCTCCTCTCAATATGGCGGAGCAGCAGGTCTACACCGAGCCCCTCCCGAATGACCGAGCTTCTCACCCTATCTCTAAGGAAGAGCCCAGCCACTCTTTGGAGAAAACTCATTTTGGCCGCTTGTATCCACGATCACGATCTTTCGGTCACTACCCAAAGCTCGTGACCATAGGTGAGGGTAGGAATGTAGATCGAGAGCTTCGCCTTCTGACTCAGCTCCCTCTTCACCACGACAGACCGGTACAACGCCCGCATCACTGCAGATGCAGCACCAATCCGCCTATCGATCTCATGCTCTAGTTTTCCCTCACCCGCGAACAAGACCCCGAGATACTTAAACTCCTCCACTTGGGGCAGGACCTCATCCCTGACCCAGAGAAGGCATTCTACCCTATTCCAAATCAAGACCAAGGTCTCAGATTTAGAGGAGCTGATTCTCATCCCAGCTGCTTCACACTCGGCTGCGAACCACTCCAGCGAAAGCTGAAGATCACGTTCTGATGAAGCCAACAGGACCACATCATCTGCAAAAAGCAGAGACCTGATCCTCAGGCCACCAAAATGGATGCCCTCCACACCTTGGCTGTGCCTAGAAATCCTGTCCATAAAGGTTATGAACAGAATCGGTGACAAAGGACAGCCTTGGCGGAGTCCAACTCTCACTGGGAACGAGCCCGACTTACTGCCGGCAATGCAGACCAAGCTCTGACACCGGTCATACAGGGACCTAACAGCCCGTGTCAGAGGGCCTGGTACCCCATACTCCCGTGAGTACCCTCCCCAGAGAGGACGCTGTTGAATGCCTTCTCCAGATCCACAAAACAACATAGACTGGTTGGGCAAACTCCCACGCACCCTGCAGGACCCCTGAGGGTATAGAGCTGGTCCAGTGTTCCACGGCCAGGACGAAAACCACATTGCTCCTCCTGAATCTCAGCCCACTATCTGACGGACCCTCCTCTCCAGAACCCTTTATCAGGGAGGCTCAGGAGTGTGATCCCTCTGTAGTTGGAACACATCAGTCCACCTGTTTTTTTTTAAATAAGGGGACCAGCACCCCGGTCTGCCAGTCCAGTGGAACTGACCCCAATGACCACACGATATTGCAGAGCCGCGTCAACCAACACAGCTCCACACCATCCAGAGCCTTAAGGAAAGTCTTTAATAAACATCTAAAACCACAGAGAAGAGCTCAGGGGTCAGAGGTCACGAACCTCACAGCCTCAGAAATGGAACGGTTTCGTTCAGCTTTGCTGTCTGGGTATGAAGGCCTGGGCTGAGGAGTAGGCTCTGTTATTTCATTACTCTATTAGAGACATGATGCTGTTGTTTCTGAGCAGATCAAACCACGTGAGTATAGTTAACCTTAACACGAACACTAATAGAAATGGCAGAAATTCTCTTTTCAATGCCTGGATGGCACAAAAAAATACTAAAACTTTATTAAGAGGGAAGAAATTTTACCAGGTACTGCCATATACTCTGGATAATTACATGCTGGATCTTACTATTGATAGGAGCCACAAAACAGGGCCAAGTTGTCTTGGTTGATGTCTTGGGCGATGTGGAGGCGGTAGGTCTGGATCAGCTCCTGGTTCTCAGTCAGCTCATCCTGGGAATCAGAGAGAACTTAAACTGGTCCAAATTACAAATAACACGTCAGACTACACTTCTACACGTCAGACTACACGTCAGACTACACGTCAGACTACACCTTTACACGTCAGACTACACGTCAGACTACACTTCTACACGGCAGACTACACTTCTACACGGCAGACTACACTTCTACATGTCAGACTACACTTCTACACGTCAGACTACACTTCTACATGTCAGACTACACTTCTACATGTCAGACTACACTTCTACACGGCAGACTACACTTCTACATGTCAGACTACATGTCAGACTACACTTCTACACGTCAGACAACACTTCTACACGTCAGACTACACTTCTACACGGCAGAGTACATGTAAGACTACACTTCTACATGTCAGACTACATGTCAGACTACACTTCTACACGTCAGACTACACTTCTACACGTAGTGCTACACGTCAGACTACACTTCTACACGTCAGACTACACTTCTACACGTAGTGCTACATGTCAGACTACACTTCTACACGGCAGAGTACATGTAAGACTACACTTCTACATGTCAGACTACACTTCTACACGGCAGAGTACATGTAAGACTACACTTCTACATGTCAGACTACACTTCTACATGGCAGACTACACGTCAGACTACACCTTTACATGTCAGACGACACGTCAGACTACACTTCTACACGTCAGACTACATGTCAGACTACACGTCAGACTACACTTCTACACGTCAGACTACACGTCAGACTACACTTCTACACGTCAGACTACACTTCTACACGTCAAACTACATGTCAGACTACACTTCTACACGTCAGACTACATGTCAGACTACATGTCAGACTACACGTCAGACTACACGTCAGACTACACTTCTACATGTCAGACTACATGTCAGACTACACGTCAGACTACACTTCTACATGTCAGACTACATGTCAGACTACACTTCTACACGTCAGACTACACTTCTACACGCCAGACTACATGTCAGACTACACTTCTACATGTCAGACTACATGTCAGACTACACTTCTACACGTCAGACTACATGTCAGACTACACTTCTACATGTCAGACTACATGTCAGACTACACTTCGACATGTCAGACTACATGCCAGACTACACAACTACACGTCAGACTACACTTCTACACGGCAGAATACAAGTCAGACTACACTTCTACACGTCAGACTACACTTCTACATGTCAGACTACACTTCTACACGGCAGACTACACTTCTACATGTCAGACTACATGTCAGACTACACTTCTACATGTCAGACTACACTTCTACACGTCAGACAACACTTCTACACGGCAGACTACACTTCTACACGGCAGAGTACATGTAAGACTACACTTCTACATGTCAGACTACATTTCTACATGGCAGACTACAAGTCAGACTACACCTTTACACATCAGACGACACGTCAGACTACACTTCTACACGTCAGACTACATGTCAGACTACACTTCTACATGTCAGACTACACTTCTACACGTCAGACTACATGTCAGACTACACTTCTACATGTCAGACTACATGTCAGACTACACTTCTACATGTCAGACTACACTTCTACATGTCAGACTACATGTCAGACTACATGTCAGACTACACTTCTACACGTCAGACTACACTTCTACATGTCAGACTACACTTCTACATGTCAGACTACATGTCAGACTACACTTCTACATGTCAGACTACATGTCAGACTACACTTCTACATGTCAGACTACATGTCAGACTACATTTCTACATGTCAGACTACACTTCTACATGTCAGACTACATGTCAGACTACACTTCTACATGTCAGACTACACTTCTACATGTCAGACTACATGTCAGACTACATGTCAGACTACACTTCTACACGTCAGACTACACTTCTACATGTCAGACTACACTTCTACATGTCAGACTACATGTCAGACTACACTTCTACATGTCAGACTACATGTCAGACTACACTTCTACATGTCAGACTACATGTCAGACTACATTTCTACACGTCAGACTACACTTCTACATGTCAGACTACATGTCAGACTACACTTCTACATGTCAGACTACACGTCAGACTACACTTCTACACGTCAGACTACATGTCAGACTACACTTCTACACGTCAGACTACACTTCTACACGTCAGACTACATGTCAGACTACACTTCTACACGTCAGACTACACTTCTACACGTCAGACTACACGTCAGACTACACTTCTACATGTCAGACTACACGTCAGACTACACTTCTACACGTCAGACTACATGTCAGACTACACTTCTACACGTCAGACTACACTTCTACACGTCAGACTACATGTCAGACTACACTTCTACACGTCAGACTACACTTCTACACGTCAGACTACACTTCTACATGTCAGACTACACGTCAGACTACACTTCTACATGTCAGACTACACGTCAGACTACACTTCTACATGTCAGACTACACTTCTACATGTCAGACTACACGTCAGACTACACTTCTACACGTCAGACTACATGTCAGACTACACTTCTACACGTCAGACTACATGTCAGACTACACTTCTACATGTCAGACTACATGTCAGACTACACTTCTACATGTCAGACTACACGTCAGACTACACTTCTACACGGCAGACTACAAGTCAGACTACACTTCTACACGTCAGACTACAGTTCTACATGTCAGACTACATGTCAGACTACACTTCTACACGTCAGACTACACTTCTACACGTCAGACTACACTTCTACACGTCAGACTACAGTTCTACATGTCAGACTACATGTCAGACTACACTTCTACACGTCAGACTACACTTCTACACGTCAGACTACAGTTCTACATGTCAGACTACATGTCAGACTACACTTCTACACGTCAGACTACAGTTCTACATGTCAGACTACATGTCAGACTACACTTCTACACGTCAGACTACACTTCTACACGTCAGACTACAGTTCTACATGTCAGACTACATGTCAGACTACACTTCTACACGTCAGACTACACTTCTACACGTCAGACTACATGTCAGACTACACTTCTACACGTCAGACTACACTTCTACACGTCAGACTACACGTCAGACTACACTTCTACATGTCAGACTACACGTCAGACTACACTTCTACATGTCAGACTACACGTCAGACTACACTTCTACACGGCAGACTACAAGTCAGACTACACTTCTACACGTCAGACTACAGTTCTACATGTCAGACTACATGTCAGACTACACTTCTACACGTCAGACTACACTTCTACACGTCAGACTACAGTTCTACATGTCAGACTACATGTCAGACTACACTTCTACACGTCAGACTACACTTCTACACGGCAGAGTACATGTAAGACTACACTTCTACATGTCAGACTACACTTCTACATGTCAGACTACACGTCAGACTACACTTCTACACGTCAGACTACACTTCTACATGTCAGACAACATGTCAGACTACATTTCTACACGTCAGACTACACTTCTACATGTCAGACTACATGTCAGACTACACTTCTACATGTCAGACTACACGTCAGACTACACTTCTACATGTCAGACTACATGTCAGACTACACTTCTACACGTCAGACTACACTTCTACACGTCAGACTACACGTCAGACTACACTTCTACATGTCAGACTACACTTCTACATGTCAGACTACACGTCAGACTACACTTCTACACGTCAGACTACATGTCAGACTACACTTCTACACGTCAGACTACACTTCTACACGTCAGACTACATGTCAGACTACACTTCTACATGTCAGACTACACGTCAGACTACACTTCTACACGGCAGACTACAAGTCAGACTACACTTCTACACGTCAGACTACAGTTCTACATGTCAGACTACATGTCAGACTACACTTCTACACGTCAGACTACACTTCTACACGTCAGACTACAGTTCTACATGTCAGACTACATGTCAGACTACACTTCTACACGTCAGACTACACTTCTACACGTCAGACTACAGTTCTACATGTCAGACTACATGTCAGACTACACTTCTACACGTCAGACTACAGTTCTACATGTCAGACTACATGTCAGACTACACTTCTACACGTCAGACTACACTTCTACACGTCAGACTACAGTTCTACATGTCGGACTACATGTCAGACTACACTTCTACACGTCAGACTACACTTCTACACGTCAGACTACATGTCAGACTACACTTCTACACGTCAGACTACACTTCTACACGTCAGACTACACTTCTACATGTCAGACTACACGTCAGACTACACTTCTACATGTCAGACTACACGTCAGACTACACTTCTACACGGCAGACTACAAGTCAGACTACACTTCTACACGTCAGACTACAGTTCTACATGTCAGACTACATGTCAGACTACACTTCTACACGTCAGACTACAGTTCTACATGTCAGACTACATGTCAGACTACACTTCTACACGTCAGACTACACTTCTACACGTCAGACTACACTTCTACACGGCAGAGTACATGTAAGACTACACTTCTACATGTCAGACTACACTTCTACATGGCAGACTACACGTCAGACTACACCTTTACACGTCAGACGACACGTCAGACTACACTTCTACACGTCAGACTACATGTCAGACTACACTTCTACACGTCAGACTACACTTCTACATGTCAGACTACACTTCTACATGTCAGACTACACGGCAGACTACACTTCTACATGTCAGACTACAAGTCAGACTACACTTCTACACGTCAGACTACAGTTCTAAATGTCAGACTACATGTCAGACTACACTTCTACACGTCAGACTACACTTCTACATGTCAGACTACACGTCAGACTACACTTCTACACGGCAGACTACAAGTCAGACTACACTTCTACACGGCAGACTACAGTTCTAAATGTCAGACTACATGTCAGACTACACTTCTACACGTCAGACTACACTTCTACACGTCAGACTACACTTCTAC